ACCTTTGTAAATGCATTTTTCTAATTTTATTAAATGCATGCAGTGTTTCCTCTAGGATTTTTTCCAGCTGTGGTGGCAGGACTATTTCTCCTGGACCACGCGTTTGCGTTTTCATGTGGACGGAGATTATTTTAAAAACGGAAGGAGGAAAAACTCTGTTTATAAAAATACACGTGTACGTGTGGACATGGCCTAAGTTAAACTGTAAAATAACACTGGATAGTCTTCACTGTATAATGAAAGGCAGCAACAGGTTTATTTAGGCTGCTGTCTCTTTAAGACCTCATGCACGGATCTAATATACTGATACACTCTCAGCTTTCTCTGATACACTATGCTTACTTTTCTTTTTAGGAGCGCTTGTCCTCCTAATTAAAAAAAATAAAATAGGAGCACCTTCTGAAAAATAATACAAAATTCATATAAAAAATTAGCCATCCTAATACGAGCTGACATTTGACTCCTTAAAGTGACTTACAGGAGTAGGCTCAGAGGGGGCATGGGTGCAGTTAAATTCATACATTCATGTGGAGATTAATGTTTTAAATATAAAAGTTTGAATACAGAAATATTAAATGATTTAAATAACTGAATTTATATGCTAAAAATTAAACTAAATCCACCAGCAGGTGGCGGTAAGTCACTGAATCATTCATTCAATTGATTCGTTTGAACGGCTGATTCATTCAGGAATGAAATCTTTATGAATGGGTAATCAAGTTTTTTTTTCGCGCTCCCCCATCTCCACCCCCAATCATTAGTGCCGCTTGTTCTGTCTTTGACAGAACATATAGGACAATTTTTTAAATAGCGCCATAAACAAAATTTATTTCAAATTTAATTCAAGCACTTTCAAGGACCTATGTTTGTTTTCAAGTACTTTCCAGGCCTTGAATCCATATGCCTGAAATTCAAGCACTTTCAAGTACTTTCAAGAAGCGTGGGAACCCTGTGAATGCCTCTTACACCCCAACCAAGAGCCTGTCCAGATTTGACCCAAACCTGTATGAAATCAATATGGCGACTTCTGAAGCAGACTAGCCAGTTTGTACGGGATGAGATCCATGCTGTCCTTGTTCCAGAATGCATGATCCATAAATAAGTCTGCACTAAAATTGACAAAATTCAATTCAAGTCATTCACTATATGCTGCCACTGATCTCACGCAACTGGATGTTCATTAACCAAACTCATTTTCTGTTCGGCAGAATAAAGGAAGTCTTTAGGTTTTTAAAGACATGAGGACGAGTAAATGACAGCATTTTCATTTTTTGAGTCAACCATTCGTCTTATTTCTCAACCACCTGCCATACAGAGACGGTTTAGATGTTTTATTTACTGCATCACCGCACCGGCACATTAGGAAATGCATCTCTCTTAAAGACTAGTTTTAGCTGACACCTGCCCTGTTCTGAGGTGCTGTATATTAATCAGTCATCATATCAGCTCCTGCTCCACCGTTGGCGTCGCTCAGGCTCAGATCCTCCATCATCTCCGCCAGAGAGATCCTGGGAGCGCCGTCGTCATCCGGCTCACTTTCCACAGGGATCTTTGAAGCATCTGTACAGGCAGAATGATTCTGATATGAGCACAGTGAGAATATTCACTCAAGAGATGCGTCGTCAGTGGTGTGTTTCTTCACCTCTGAAGATGTTGACGTTCTTCCTCAGCATCTCATCTTCCTCCAGGTCCTCCAGGAATTCAGTGTATTGTCTATGATTACCATCAAACAGGCCACAAGTTAAATCAGAAAGAATAATGATTGATTTACATTCTAAATTGACGTTTCAATTATAATTTAAGCTGTTTTGTTATACTAAAACGATAATTTCAGTACCACAGGAAACACTCATTTGCTTTTGAACACTCCTTTAATCTATTCTAATGAACTGAAGTCACATGTTTAATTAAAATATTAAAGCTAATCAATAATAAGAAATAATTTAAGGCTACATGCCATTTTAAGTAAATAAAGATAAAAGTAATAAAATGAAAACAAAGCAATAGAACAAAGATAGCTTCAAGTTTACCATCTTATTAAAGCCACTGAAGTTTTCCTCTTAAATATTACATAACACTTTACAGTAAGGTCTCATTAGGTCTCAACATTAGTTAATTCATTAGTGAACATGAGCTAACACGGAGCATGTTTATATGCATGTTCTTTTTTTTTTTTTACCCGATTAGCCTTAATAAGCGTACAGTGTGTGTGGGGTCATATTTACTCCGGATAAAGAAATAACGGGTTAAGGCCACAAATATTACCACAGGAATTTTTTTTTATCACAATATTCATTTAGCATGAATGGGGAAGGAAATGTTCTCCACTTGTTTGTTAGACCTTGAGAATGAATGTGTAAACAACTTATTTGTTCACAATTGACTCCAAAAAGAAAGATACCTTTTAATTTTAATTTATCGCCCAGCCCTACCTTAGCCTGTCGGATTACTGAATTTACGTGCATCCGGCAAGTGTTTCGCGGTAGAGAATATATCACACACTCTCTTTCCTGACCCAAGAAATGATAAAAATGTGATTTCATCTCTTGCAGCGGAGTTAGACGTGATGCATCCGTAATGGCATTAGAGGAAAATTCAAGCAGAAGTTTCCCGCTGACATCCTGGAAACCTCTGGGGCTTCAGCATCACAAATCACATAGTTCTCTGAGTCAGATTCACAAGCTATTACGTTTTGATGTCACTGCCACAGAATAATCCGATTTGTTAATAAAGTCTTGTTAGCACGGTTTACTTGCATTGCATGTGAACAGGGCTCAACGTGTTACTTTTCTCAATAATTCCATTTAAATTCTCCTCACTGCAATTTTTATCTATTGCATTGAAAATACAACTATGATTTATAAAAGCAATAAGCCCCATGAAGCCATGGTTTACAGAGAATATATAACAGCTAAGCACCGTTGTTAGGTACGACGCGAAGCGGAGCTGTTATAAAATCACTGTAAACTACGGCTTCACGGGGATTATTGCTTTTATAAAACGGTTATTCCATACACGTAGTAAGGTTTCACAAAATAAAACAGAGCCAATAAAGTGTAATGATATTAATAAAAACAGTATTCTTCCACCAAACAATGTAGTTCCTCAGAAACAGTTGTGGTTCCAACAAAGTGGTTGCCGAGCACTTTTTTAATTCCAGTGGGAGAGATGGACTTTTGTTTGTCTTTTGTTTATTATTATTTTGTGCTGTATTGTTGGTTACTGTGTTATTTCTGTTTCAAAAGCCAGCAATAAATAACACTTTAATATCTAAAGAGTGTTCATGTGATTTTATACATTAGTAATGTTGGGAAATGAGTAAATGCATAATAATCGTCATAATCGTAAAACCGTGATTATTCCTCAGACAATAATCGTACCAACAAAATCTATAATCGTTGCATCCCTACCGAGCAACACACAAACGTAAACAAAGGTGTATGTTTGTAGAGTCATTTACAACAGCTTCGAACGCAGCTCAGCCAATCAGAATCAAGCACCGGAACTATCGGTTTTATAATAATGTTTTTTTTTTTTTGCATTATACAATAATGAGAATTTGGGGGGGTAAGAGAGGCGTTCCCATCTCCTCTCGGAGGTCACTCACCTCTCATCATCGGTGTCTGTAGCGTCTCTCTCTCGGTCCAGTTCCCTCAGCTTCCACACTCGGTTCTTCATCCTCTTCATGCGGTCATAACTCTTCTTTATCAGCACCTGAACACCAGCAGCACATGCTCATGCTCACATTCAACATATTCCTGTAGTACGGCCCTATGAAATACGTTTAATTTTTTACCAAATTCCATTTAATTTTTTTCCCATTTTTATTTTTCTGGATTCCGTTTTTTTTTCTGGACTTTTGTTTTAATGGTTAAATTAAATTGTATTAATCAAAAAGCATGTATAATTGAAATCATGAAACTTATACAATTTAACAACAATTTATTAAAAGTTTAACAAAAATGACATTTTTAGGGCCCTATTTTTATCACAAATTCGGTTTTATTTATTTTCTTTTTACCAAATTCTGTGTTTTTTCCATTTTAATTTTCTGGATTCCATTTTAATGGTTTAATTAAATTTTAATAATCAAAAGCACCTGTAATTAACTGATTTTAAAAATAATTTATTATTTTATTTATTTTTATTTCATTTTTTAAATACTGTGTTGTAAACATTTACATTTTTCTGGTAAATATATGAAGGCATAAAACATTAATTTATCTTTTAATTAAATGAAAATTAAACAAAGCCTTCCTTTTTGGCAAACAAAGTTATGCACAAACAGAGGTTTATAGTTATAATTAAAACATGGAAGAAAAATTTTGATTATTCCTTAATAAAAATGGTTTTAATAATATTTTTAATAGTAGTAGTAGTACTATCAAGGCATTAATAATATATTTGTCACAGTTTCTTCAAGTTAAACCGAACTCTTATTTTGACAGGTTGCTGTGAAGACTTAAGTTTCTGTTTGTATATGATATGACGATAGTTTTTATCAAAAGAAACAGTAAAATGCTCATGAAGTGACTCTCAGAGCAGTTCTAGAGATTGTTTGTGTTCATGTGCTCATATTATTCAGGTGGCACGAAACGAAGCCGCACGTCTGCGCCATTCATTCACTCAGAGACGCGCAGAATTCATATTTTAATAACACTTTCTATGAAGCCCGTATTTATGATACATTATAAGGGTATTCTTAAGGCATTATATATTTTAATATCACATTTTGATTTAAGCGTACAGACCTACTTTTGATTTATTCATCCAAAATCTGGCAAATTGCGTGACATTCTGCGTTACACACTAAATTATATTTTTATGACTGGATTCCGCAGAACATGGTTCTGTCCATGTTTTTCTGCCACGGTCATGGGTTTTTAATAATCTTAGTTTGTTCATATAAAAAATAAAAGCAAAAAATTTAATTAATGATATTAAACAAAAGCTTATGCAGTGTTTCTTTGCAAATTTTTAAAAAATGTAATCCAATGCCATACAGAAGTGTTTAAGTTTTTATGGCCACTGTATTTGTACTGCACATCATTTACATGCACATGAGTTGTAAAGATGTAAAGCGATGTAAAGATGTAAAGTCTTACCACGTCAGGAACGTGGTGAGGGTTCATCTTATTGAGGAACTCATCATTGATATTGGCATTGGCAAAATCAAAGCTGGGGTAAAAACAAAAGCATGTTACAATCAACTCATAGACCTGTTTTCATGCATTAAATCACTGAAGCGATGTGACGCATGTGAACTGACCCCAGCACCAGGTCTCCAATGTTCAGCAGGTGACCCAGGAACGTTCTGCAGTGATACTGATGACTGGAGTCCATCTCTGACGTCTTCTGAACCCAGACCTCAGCCAACGTGTGCTGCAAACACACACACACACACACGTCACTGGATTTGCAAAAGTACAATCAAACGTACCAAATCCATTTGTCCTGTTAGCGCAAGTCACACTAAAGCACATCATTCTGTCTTCAGATGAGCTTCTGTGCCTCTGTGCTCTTAGACAAGGAAAGCTTAAAGAAACACATCCATATGAAATGCATCTGACAGGATTATGATGAACATAATGCCTAATGATACAGAGTATCCTGAACACAGTCTAGCTGAATAATCATTTAAAGAAGTCTTTGGATTGGAACAAAATTAACATTAACCAGTTACCAGCATTTAAAAAACACTTTCACTCTATACAGAATAAAAAGGATTTTTTCCCCCAAACTTCTATTACATTGTGCAAAAACATTACTTCACATTTCATGAACCGTTTCAATCTCAATAACTGGACTTTGAATAAACCGTTGCATGAAGAACAATAGGGATACATGATAAATCGCATTTTAATTGTGATTGCAATTTCTGCTTCTCTTGATGTATTAAGCATAATGCCCGCTGCTTATTTATCCTGAAAGCGTTTCATATTAATTGGGCACTTTGGCACATTTTTCATGGCTGCAGTTGCCAGATGTCAAGAGCTTAAAGGGATAGTTCACCCAAAAATGAAAATTAGCCCATAATTTACTCACCCTCAAGACATCCCAGGAGTGTATGACTTTCTTCTTTCAGACGAATACAATCAGAGTTACATTATTAAGCTTGGAAGAGCCAGGATATTTTTTTAATGGCAGTGAATGGGTGTTATTTTTCAATAGTCCAAAAGACGTCCAATAAAGCGCATCCATAATATGGGTTCCGCTAACTGTAGCGTACGACAATTAGCGGAAGCTAGAGATTACGGTTTCTAATATGGGTATTTTTCTTACAAAAGCACATCGGTTCGCTTCAGGAGGCCTTTATTAACCCCCGGAGCCGTGTGAGGCACTTTTTATGATGGATGGATGCACTTTATTGGACTTCTTTTGGACTAATGAAAAAAAAAAAACACCTATTCACTGCCATTATAAAGCTTGGAAGTTGTTTTTAATGTAACTCTGATTGTATTCGTCTCAAAGAAGAAAGTCAAACACACCTAAGATGGCTTTAGGGTGAGTAAACCATGGGCTAATTTTCATTTTTGGGTGAACTATCCCTTTAAATCCCCCAATCAGAGCTTTTCTCTTAAATCGATAATTTTCTGCCAAATGGTTTACTTAATATTCCCAACCTGGCAACTATCTCAACATTAGGCAAAAAGTTTAGCAATCTCTACGAAGATATTCTGCTCCAATAAAAGTGTAATGCATCCAATCTGTTTTCTTTCACAGGGTTGTTTGCGCTGTTCGCTGTGATTAAATCTGCAAGCAAACCATGCAAGTTGACGTTCTTTTGATTTGTGAGATTTTTTAACACAATAATCATGTTGAACCGTTTAACCATCATCGTGCAGCCCTGAAGAGCACAGCTGGAGCAGTTCTAGTTTATTGGAGTATGTAGGTGTTGTTACTTGCACACCTGACGTCTCTTACCTTATTGGACGTGAGACCGGCGCCGGCTCCTAACCGCTGACCTCTGATAATGTCGATGTCCATGACGATGAACTCCTCCAGCTGCCGCGGGCTACACAGACTGCTGAACGGATGACGCCAGAACGTGTTCCCATCCACCTCAGCAACTGAAATCAAACACACTCACATTAATGTGACCCTGGAGCACAAAACCAGTCATAAGGGTCAATGTTTCAAAATTTAGATTTATGCATCATCTGAAAGCTGAGTAAATAAGCTTTCCATTGATGTATGGTTTGTTAGGATCGGACAATATTTGAAAATCTGGAATCTGAGGGTGCAAAAAAATCTAAATATTGAGAAAATCATCTTTAAAGTTGTCCAAATGAAGTTCTTAGCAATGCATATTACTAATCAGAAATTAAGTTTTGATATATTTATGGTAGGA